ATATTTCAACAGCAGTAAAATTGAAACATTGAACAGCTAGATCTCCAGACCTTAAGATTATTGAGAATGCTTGGACACAGCTGTCACATATAGTGTTTGAAGGTGGTAAACAATATAGTCCAGTAGCTGACTTGAAATCATCCATTGCATCTGCATGGGATGCAATTGATATTTCATACATAAAAAAGTTGTACGATTCTTTACCTTCTAGAGTGATTGAAGTGATTCAAAAGAATAGTACCCACAATTGATTGTTTAAAATTGAGACGTCTTTTTATAAAAATGACAATTAATATGAATTTTTTTCAAAAGTGACTTATATTTATGTCGCACTAAAATAACAGTTTTTTTTTTTATAAAATGGGAGTTAGGTTTAAAATAATTTTTTTTTTTTAAATGTTGTTTATTCTTAAAAATTATATAAAAACTATAAAAAATTTTTTTAAAATGTTGTTTAGTTTTAAAAGTTATATAAAACTATAAAAATTAGTTTTAATGTATAGTTGAGTTTTATAAATATTTTTGGGATATTTTATCATATATATATATATATATATATATATATATATATATATATATATATATATATATATATATATATATATATATATATATATATATATATATAATATATATATATATATAAAACTTATCTATATATAAAAGAGTTGAAGAGCAAGAAAGCAGTTGACAGATGACTTTCAAAACTTTAAATTGTATTGTCAGTAATTATCAGATAAAAGTGTTGATGAGAGAGAATTTAATGTTCAAGGAAGATTTTCAAGCAAAAAAATCAACCATTTTAGTATATTTAGAAGAAAAAAAATTGACACAACTTTGTAAAAATTGGACAGAGGCTCTCGGTTAGCGGCAGGATCAACAACATTTACATTGCAATTTTGTACCGTGCCTTAAAGGTTTCATTAGAAGAACCAGCCGAAATGTGACAACAGTATTCCATACAAAAAAAATTTTTTTCATTATTGTTTTCTTTTCTTTGTCTGGCACGTACTTTTTGTTGTTTTTTCTAAAAAAGGTTAAAATTGCATTTTTTTTACAGTTCATAATACAAGAAAATATGAAAACAGTTTGCCATTGAGGTAATTAGGAATAGTTGTTGTCATGTTTCTTGTATCAAATTTTCATAAAATCTATGTTTTGACAATATATTTTAATCCACTCTAATGTTTCTTTAATTTGTTAAAGGAAAACAATGCGATAAATAAATACTATTTGTTAAACGAAGTTTAACAATTAGTATTATAATGATATTATGAATTTTTTTTTTTAAACTAATAGCATATAAAATAATCTACTTAATAATAATAGTATATATAATAATTTTATCTCCTGATTATAATATATTAATGTTATCTCCTGATTGTTATTCTCCCCAATTCAAAAGAAACTCATTACTAATTACCTAATTATACTAATTACCTTATTTAATGTCAATGAAAAAATCAGTGCATCTTTTACAGTAAAATGCTTAAAATAATAAATAATGTAAAACAAAATAAATATTTTTAATAAATAAAGAGTTAAGTTTATTGAAATCAAAAAGAATAAAAAAGGTTTTAATGAAAACATTATTGAAATATAATATAGTGTAATAATAAAGGTTGTTTATCAAAATAGTTTACTTTTTTTTAACTTTTTTGAGATTTTTATAAAATCTTATATTATAAGATCATTATATTATTATATTATAAGACCTTTTTAAATTAACAATTCAAATTTTTTTAAAAAAAGGTTAAACATGGAGCTAATTGTGTCTTTCTTATAAAGTTGTATATTTTAAATTACTTTATGTTGATTTTAATAATTATAATGATAAAAAATTGGTATATCTGTGACATTGTCTAGAATGAGCATGTATAAATGTTGGTAGTTTTGGGTTTTTCCCCGAAAAAAATGTAATTTTCTTTAATTTTTGAAATTTTTGAATCCTTCTTAGATAATTTTTTTATAAGTTACAGACCTTGAAAGTTTAAATATAGTTTTCACAAAACATATATAATATAATTTTTTAATTGCTTTTTATTATAAAATAAATAATTTTTTTGCATTTATAGCATGGTCCTGAACCATTGTGCATTAATAATACTTAAAATGAAAACACATGACTTTGACGTTTAATGATCTCAAACAAAAGTTAGATCATTAAACGTCATCTTTATAACAACTCAGGCAAAATTAAATTGTTTAAATTGTTATATTGATTTTAAGTGATCATAACAATCCTAAACTATTCTCATAGATCAAAGTGTCTTGTTGTTTATTATTTGGATTTAAATATCATTTCTAGTATTTCAAATTTGTTTCATTCAAAATAAATTTAATTCATTCATATAAATTCATTTAACATTTAATAAACTTTGGAAGAAAATTTGAATTTTTTATTAAGTTTGCCTAACAGTTTTCCTAATCAAATTTGATTGGCCAAAATAAATATTAGGAGATCATCGATTAGCTGTTATTTTCAGCACTGATACAATAGTAATATAATAATAAGAAATAAATAGTGAAAAGTAGATTGTTAAATGCACAATATTTAGCTACTGATAAGGTGGAGGGAGGGAAAGGGGTGGTCAGGGTTTTATTTTAGATAAAATTTTATTTTATCTAATTAGTTATTTATTTTGATTTATTTAATAAAATTCACTTTAGCATACTTTGACAGGACACAGCAATAAAGTAATGACAGCAAAGTTTCTTGGAACAGATTCGAGCAAAATAGCGTCTGGAAGTTATGATAGAACAATAAAAGTATGGGATTTAAGAAGCAAAGTTTGTAAGTAGTTGCAACCTTTTGCAACTGATTGCAATTGGTTGTAAAATCCTTTATATAGTATTGCATAGAATTGCTCATATTTAGCAAATAAAAAGGCATTTAAGGGGTGACAACTAAAAATGGAACTGGATTCAAAGACTTTCAACTTCCTTAAAATATAAGCTAAAATGATAAGAAAACATATTTTAGAATATATTATGATTTTATTATATATTATAAATTACAAAACATGTGTATGAGTACTATTTAAATTTCAGTAGGTAAATAGAAATTAAATGTTTTTTATATATTCCACTTAAAAGCAAAGAGCATTTCCTTAAAAGTATCATCTGTGTGATAATTAAATGTACTATAAGTAATTTTGGCTACTAAATGTACTAAAAGTGAATTGTCTACTAAATGAACTAAGAGTGAATTTGTTTACTAAATGTTCTAAAAGTGAATTTGGCTACAAATTGTACTAAGAGTGAATTTGTCTACTAAATGTACTAAAAGAGAATTTGGCTACAAAAAAGTCAAAGGAAGTGAAGGAATAGTTTAAAAAAATCAAATCTTTGTTTGACCATCTAAATATAAATTCTCAACTAGATTCTCAGGCTGCTAAAAAAGTTAGTTATTAAAAACCAAGAAAAAAAAATGTTTATTTCAAAACATTTAGACCATCAAGAAGCAGTTGCAAGTTTTTTTAGTTTATCTTGTCAAAAATTTAAAAAAATTAAAAGTCAATTATCGATTCTTTCTTTTTAATTTTGGATTAATACAAATAATGAAGTTTTTACATGAACAATCTTGAATGAATGTAATCAAGTTTACTTAAAGTTTTGATAAAAATAAACTGCTATGGGTTTTTTAAAACATAGCAAGAAAAGAAAATGGTATAAAACTCGCTATAAATCATAAAATCTGTTTAAACAAAATTTCTTTTTTGATTTACTTTACTTTTTAAGGGAGTTATGATAATTAAATCCCAGTCCCTTTTTTTGAATGTCATTCAATATGTGCATTTGTTTTCGTTTTTTAAATTTGTTTATATAACTTTTTTTATATTTTATAATGTTTATATAAGTTTTTTAATGTTTTAATAGATATATGACTGTTATTTTTTTCGTATTTTTTATATCTTTACATTTTTGTATTTTTATACTTCTTTGTTAGTGTTAGTATAAATGCTTCTAATTCTGTTATATTTTTTTTCTTTTTTATTTGACACTCTTGTATCTAAACAGGCACTAAAACAATCTTTGCAGGATCCAGTTGTAATGATCTTGTTACATCAGACATTGCAGGGTAGCATATTTTTGTTTAGATTTTTTTTTCATAGATATATTTGCAAAATATCCACATACTTTAGTCTGTGTTATATCTGTGTGTTATCTTGACTTGAATGATATTTTTTTAAAGCTAATATTTATTCTATATAATAACAGTAATAAAAAATATTTGTTTAAATATTTGTTTTATACTAATGCTTTAATTTTAAATGTATTAAACATAACTAATCAATACATAATTATAAAGTATATATATATATATATATATATATATATATATATATATATATATATATATATATATATATATATATATATATATATATATACTATATATATATATATATATATATATATATATATATATATATATATATATATATATATATATATATATATATATATATATATATATATATATATATATATATATATATATATAGGGGCAATTCTAGGAAAATAAGGAAATTTGGCGTAAACATTAACATATGTAGGCATTTTGTTTTTGAGAAAAAAGTAATATTTGCCGTAAAAACAAACAATGTTAGGGCGCGACAAACAACGAACGTGCGAATGTTTGTTAAAATGTGACATTTAATTTTTAAAAAAATTAAATGTCACATTTTCTTACTTTTACTTAAGCTAATGTTGGCATATGCTTAAAATTCTTAAAAATGAACGCATAAGGGATTGTACATATATTACTTATGCTGGGAGAGGAAGAGGGGGTCTGCAAATGACATATATGCGATGAGAGGGCAAAGGGTTAATTATAAATGAAAAGAGAAACTATATTGAAAAAGATATCATAAAATGTTAGATAAATAGGTTTAAAGCGTAGATACTTTTAGGGAGGTGGTGGGTACTCAAAAGAGCCTATTGCAAAATAGGGGAGGGGGAGGTGGACAAAAAGTGTATGTACTTTATGGACGACCCTTAACTTCAGAAATTTTTTTTTCCAAATAATTATGCGATTGATAGCTTTTTATTTATTATAAAAAAAACAATAAGTTACTAAAATTTAAAACACATTTTTAATGATTTAAAAAAAAAAAGCATTCTAATTATTTTTTCAATAGCATTACTTTTAAGTTTAATAATTAAATATGCAACTGAAGAAAGTAATTATGTTTTAGCATGGTTTTTACATGCGTTTACAAAAGCATATGAAATTTTAGTTAAAATGATTGCATTTGGAATTTCTTTATAAGAAACCATGCTAAAACATAGCTTTCATCAAAACTTTTTTTAATTTTCTGATTATCGTTTAATTAAATTTAATCTTATTGGTGTTGTTAAACACACAGTAAAAAATAAAAATTATAATAAACATAACAGTTCTATATATTCTATTAAATTATATATATTTTAAAAGAATATATAGAAATATTATATTTATTATAGTTTTCATTTTTTCCAATTTATTAACTCTTTAAGTTTTTATTAACTCGTCATCTCTGTTTGTTTGATGGTTTTCTAATATCTTTAATTAAATAAATGTCTTAAAAACGGGAGGGGGGGCACTTCCCTCCCAAGTTTTTTTAAATTTCATTCAAATTTTTTTTTTGTTGCCCTAGCCTGCTTTAGTTTTTGTTTCCGCCCTCCCCCTCTAACGTTTTTGACCTTCCGACACGAGTGACTAATATTACAAAACAAGTTATATTAGTTGCACCTGTTTGAAAATTAAAAAATTTTAATGTAAAATAAATGTATTTAGAAGATGAATTAAGTAATAATACAAAAAGAAAAACAAATAACAAGGAAATTTCTATGCGCACAAAATGTTTATAATATATAATTTTGAAATTGAAGAATTAAACATAAAAGCTTTTGAGAAATTTTCCCAAAACTCTTTTCTATTATGGGTTTTGATTTTTAGATTGAATTGATTCCGGCTTTTAAACTTCTTAACCCTTTATGGGCCAGTGGTGCCATACGGCTTCAGTGACTTTAGGAGTTCTTCTATAGCTTACTAAAGCCTGTAATAAGGAGAATGCTTTTGCTTGTTATTCAACACCAAGGTGTACACACGCTAAAACTTTTCATTATGGTAGAACATACTTTGTAAGAAGTAAACACTTGGTTTATTAGTAGTAGAGAAAAGATGTAAAAACTCAAATATCTCATTTTTATTTTTTTCATTTTGTATTTAGATAACTCATTTATAAAACACTTTACTAAATGATATTCAAAATATAAATAACAAAGATTTATTTGAGGGTATTTTAGTTAAAAAGTGATCATTATCTTGTGTATTATAAATTTTCAAAAGTAAATGATGCCACATGGCGTCATTGGCCAAAAGGAATTGTCTTTATGATATTTCCACCCTTGATTTGATCCAATACCTATTGGAATAAAAGCTGCAGGCACAATCAAACCAAATCATTTACATGGGTGCCCAGTAAATTACTGGGTTTACTATTACTGAGTAATACCATCAAAAGAACTCAAGAAACAAGATAGAGGTTCACTTGATTATCGTATTGATAAAAATTCTGCACTAATTGTTGTGAAATGGTTAGACAACAATATTGTACATTTAGTATCCAACTTTTTCGCTGGTGCAGCAAAACAAAAGAAAAAAAAACATTGCCTGCCCATATATAGTGGCAGTATACAATAAATGCATGGGAGGTGTAGATCTAGCAGATATGCTAGTTGCCTTGTACCGCACAGAAATAAAAACACGACAATGGTACATAAAAGTGTTCTGGCATTTTGTAGATGTGACCAAAGTGAATGCCTGGATCTTAAATAAATGGCATTATCAGCAATTAGGTCTTCCAATCAACAAACATCAAGCATTAGCAGAATTTACAGTAGGTATTTTAAATGCTCTTATCCAAGCGAATAAATTAAAAGCAATCCAGGGTAGGAGAAGACCAGCTAAACTTAGCAGTATCAAGCAAGTTCAACAAAGGAATAGAAAGAAACCAGTCATACCAATCCCTATTAATGATATTAGGTATGATCATATAGGACACTGGCCAAAACCACAAAAAGATAAAAAAAGATGTAGGCTGTGTCAGAGTTATAGCAGAATGATGTGTGCAAAATGTAATGTTTTCCTTTGATGTTAGCCAATCGCAACTGCTATGTAGACTTCCACAATTGAATAAAACTGTATTTACTGCTTACATACATTAGAATAAACATGTTTTTTGAACAAAAAGTTTTCTGCCTGTGCTGTTTATATATAGTTCAATAAAAATATTTTATAACTTTAATAAAGTCAATAAAGATAACGTTTTCAGATGTTATCTTTATTGACCGATGATGCCATATGGCATCAAACCCATATTTGACCAAAATTACAAAATTTTGAATATTTTTTTTCAATAACTTATTTTGTTAACTTAAATTGTTAGTATAACAAAAAATAATATTTTTTACATTAATTTGTCATAATTTGGCCTGTAAAGGGTTAATGTATATGGTAAAGTTGACATTTTTTCTTTCTGCATTTTAGATAAAACTGATGCTTCAATCGCGTGGCAATAATAGTCATAATATGTTGATGCCAAACAATTGAAACTATACTTTCCTTTGTTTTTCTAATAGGCAACAACAATAAAACATGCTATAAGAACTTGATTTCGGCAATGTTTTCCATATATGGACAAAAATACTATTTATTCAACATATATTGAGTGATTTTTTCCTTTAGCACAAAAATGTTTGTGGTCTTAAAAGAATAAAAGCTCACTTAATTACAGCTACAAATTATATCATTTTTATAGAAATAAAATCAAACTTACCTGCAAAATTGTAACTTTTGTATTTTGTTTTGCTGCTTTCACTCTTTGAATAAAATCATTGAAATTGTACTCGTGACATAGTTTAAGTTGCTTCTCTATTAAATGATGAAATGAGTCACAACTCATAAATGTGTGACCATAACTCATAAATGTGATTTTGTTGGTTGTGATTTCATTGCCATTAATCATATATATCAGAAACATCACTCCAATTTTTGTTTTAAGTGTAATAATTTTCACACCAATGGTGATTTCAGATTTATCTCGATATTCTTGCAATAAAAAAATGTAGATTTAGCTCCTCTTTGTATCGCCCAGCATTTTGTTTATGCCAAACAATTGAAACTATACTTTTCTTCGTTTTTCCAATAGGCATAAATGATACATTATATGTTGTTAACCGCTGACAAAACATTGCTTCTTTAAAATTTCCCATTCTTGGTAGAATAATTACTTTTTTCATGTCTGTCGCCAATATTATTTTTTGTGCACAAACAGTTTGATCAGTTTCATGTCTATATTACTGTTGTGCCCAACCCTTTTCATGTGAATATTCCTTGTCATCCAATATGTACAGTCTAGAGTTAATTTAGAATGATTTTTTTTTTAACAATGTGTAAAGAACTGAAGGCATGTGTAACACTCTTTCTTTGTTTGATAAAAATTCTGCAAAACATATGGAGCTAATTACTCCAAATATTGTGCGGCATTTTGAATGCCGCTATCATCTATAAAAAAAGCCAGTCTACGTTTTTTCCAACAAAAAATACAACAAAAATGCTTATTTTTTAAATCAATTTTTTTTTTCCTAATAATAATATAATTTATATAAGTTATTTGAAAATAAAACTCCCTTATAATTTATTAAAAAATTATTTGAATAAAAAAAAATAAAAATTGAAAGAATTGAAAATAAAACTGGCATATTCATGGCCGACGACATGGGTTTCGAAGTGGAGGCGCACAACCATCTCTTTCTAAAAACAAGTGTATATATAAATGTATATATATATGTACACATATATATACACTTTTTATACTAAACCAGTTATCAAAAATATTTTTTTCAATAGAAAAATCCTATTAGAGTAGACCTAGTAGAGTAGTATTAGAGTAGACAAAAGATTAAGTACAAAGCAGATTATTATTTTTTTCAATTTTAAATAATTTTTTCACATGGTTATCTTTGTGTTTAATAGTGTTTTGCATTTAGGACTACTATTATTAGTGGCCATTTTGATAAAAAAATTCGCTTCTGGGATATAAGGTATATTATATTTTATCACTAATGTTATAATTATATTTGTTATAGTAATGAGTTTTTTGTTTGTGTGTTTAATGGTTTTTGTGTTTAATGGTTATTATTAGCATAATGTTTTATGAGAGTATATGCACAGTAATGTGCATATTCTTTGTGATTATGATGATAATTCTCCATTATTATGGTGATAATTCTTTTTAAGATGTGATCAAAACTCTAATGAGATTCAGCTTCAAGGCAAAGTTGCATCTTTAGACTTGTCCCAAGGTGATAATGTAATTTGTTGAAATTTTTTAGCTTGTCATATATATACATAGAATACAATACATACATACATACATACATACATACATACATACATACATACATACATACATACATACACGCTTGCATAGATTAATACTGACATTATATAAACTACATTTATCATATTTTTACAATCTAGCTTCCCTTCATAATTTAACATTAAAAATATCAAAAATATATGGCATACATGTCATATACTTCTAACGTTAATGTACATTCTACAGTTTGCAATGAACTTAATATTAATACATACAAGAGAAAAAACAGTTAGGTACTTGACATGCAAAAACTTTATCGAAAATGTTTTCTTGACATGACAGGATAATGATCCAAGGTAATGATTAATCTAAGTGCATAAAAATTCAAATATGACATGGCCATCACAAGTTTTAAATTAATACAAATTAAACCATGGAAACTTAATATATAATAAATTTAAATACATATGATAATTTAAATAAATTTTTTTTAACATTAATGTTTTGTTTTGGTTGTCCACTAAAATAAACAAGTTTTGCTTATTTTAGCGGACGAGAAAATGAAAACTTTTTCCAGTAAATAATAACATAGTTTTTTAATTATTTTAATTATAAGAATCAATTCAAAAACAATTGTTAATTATGATGATTATGTTAAATAGAGAGTATTATTTATGACAATTACGTTAAATAGAGAGTGATTAATGATTTCACAGATAATTAGAAACATTTTTTTTCACAAATAATAGTTAATTCTATACTACTACTTGTGTTGGCTCTTTAGAGATTCTGAAGAATGATAATTAGTAGTTTTTCTTGTCAGTTTCAATAGAATTATACTAGCTTTACCCCGAAACCCTCACACTATGCTTACATTTATAGTTTGACATCATTATATATTATATATATTATATATATATATATATATATATATATATATATATATATATATATATATATATATATATATATATAATCTGTGCATATCTACTTTTATAACTATAACTTTACTCAGGAATAAGATTTTTTTATAATTCACATTTCTGTTAGAAGAAAAACAAATTTCTTATCAAATTATGTAAAAAAAATCTTCTTTTTGTGAAAACTTGATGAGAAAATTAATTGACAAAAATAATCTATAAAAAAACAAGATATTTAAAATTCTCATAAAAATCAAAATATTTATTTCCATTCAAAATTTAAATGATTAAAACATTGGACATTTTTCAAAGAATATTTGTATTATTTTTTCCTTTCTAATTTTGATCGATTCTAAAGTTATTACAGAAATACTAAATAAGGGATTTTCGCCACCTATTTATATTAAATAGAAATGCGCTTTGATTGGATAATTAATATTATTTCCCTTCCTCTTGTTTTGATAATTAATTTTTTAGTTCATGTTGATCTTATAATCAATTCAAATTATTAAATCAATCAATTATCAGCAACAATGCCACGAAACTACAAGAGAAAATCTGTCAAAAATTATAGCGAAGAGCTATCGGAAAAAGCCAATGCAAAAGTTAAAGCTGGAGAACTAAGTTGCAAGCGAGCTGCGGAATTATATTGTGTAACTCAAAGGATACTAGGAGGAAAAATTCAATATCCAGAAAAGGTAGCTGGGGCTTGTCAAAATATCCTACATTTCTTAAAAAAAAAAAGGTGGAGGGGGGATGCATGCCCCAATACCTATTGGTATCGATGAATTTCTTTTATTTAGCTAATTGTAGATGTGTTTTAAAGATTTATAATGTAAAATAAAAAATTTATGTTGTAAAATAGGTGGCAAAACTTTCCCAAATTAGATTTTATTAGAGTAATTTCACCACCCCATTTTTTCTATTATTATTTTCTAATTATTTAAAAAAAAATTAAAGTATGTAAAGTTTATAAAAATAGTATTAACAATAAATAAAAAATTTGACTTTCATTTTTAAATCTCAAGTAATTTAAACTGAAAGAATTAGTGGCGAAATTACCCCATCTTACTCTATGTTTTAAAAATATTGATATGTATATATATATGTGTGTGTGTTTGTTTGTATATGTTAAACTAAATATATATTTGCACTAATAAATAATATATACATACATTAACTATATATACATATATTACATTCATATTTGTTGTTATCATTACATACATATATATGTATAAACTATATACAAAATATACTAAATGTTTATTTACACAAGTAAACAATATAAACTATATATACATATAATGCATTCACTTGTGTCTGATTTAAGTAATTGAATTTTTTCTATCATTAAAATGTTTGGTCACAATACAAGTAACAATTTTATAAAAATATAGATATGAATTATCTTTTGGCTTGCACGCGAGATGACTCACTAAAACTGATTGATTTAAGAAGAAATCAAATTGTATCCACATACAGGTACCAGAAAAATATTATACATAAAGTGGTCTATAAAATAACAGAATGTCATGTTTGTATATAGTTTTAAATAGTGAAATACTCAAAATTAAATTAATAAAAAATGTTATAAATGTATTTTATTATATATGTATATTATTATAAATGCATATTAGTATAAAAAAGTTTAAATAGTGTAAATGTAGTTTATGATTTCTGAACTTATTTAATTTTAGAACTGATGGTTTTAAAGTTGCGTTTGATATATATATATATACATATATATATATATATATATATATATATATATATATATATATATATATATATATATATATATATATATATATATATATATATATTTTATATATATATATATATATATATATTTATATCAGGGGCTATTCTAGACTGTTTCGACAGGATCGACCATATGTGATGCCACCCAAATTAAAATTTGAGGATCTTTTTTTTAAATGTTTTTTACAGCAAATATTTTTTTTTTTAATGAATAAACGCTGATTTTCCGCTATATCGCTTTGCGACGGAGGGGTACCATCACCAATTTTTTTTTCCTATAATTGTAGTAATATATAATAATAATATATACATCGCCCTGTGTTTATATATATATATATATATATATATATATATATATATATATATATATATATATATATATATATATATATATATATATATATATATATATATATATATATATATATATATATATATATATATATATATATATAAACACAGTTATTGTTATAATATAACAATAAAATATATATAAACAATATATATTTTATTGTTATATTATAAGTTAACTAGTTTTAAGTTTAGTTTTAAGGCAAGTTTGCATGATTTCAATACTTTTGAAAAATACACATACAGTATGATTTGGTTTTTATTTTGAAAAAATTTATCTTTATTTGCTTTAATGGTTGTGGGAAAGAATGTGCATATTAGACAGTATGACACTTTGTGTGTTTTATTTTGTACATATGACGCATACCCTGTGAAAGATAGTGCAAATATAACTTTATAAGCAATGTCACTTATAAGGTTTTTTGTAAAATTCTTATCCAATCTGATTTTACTTTTTTTTTTACCAAGCAAGCAACCACTACTGAATAATCAAAAAATTAGATATAAATAAGCCAAGGACCACCAACATGGTTTCAACATTGTTAACACAAACTCCTGTTTGGAACAAGTTAAGCTGAATCACATGTTTGCTACATTTTTGGTTAGGAACATATCTCATATAAATTATTGTCTTGATAAAAATTCTTCAATGGTCTAGAAGTTCAAATCTTCAATGGTCTAGAAGTTCATCCCATTTTTAAAAATTTTTTAAAAATAATCAACGTTCAGAAAACTTCACAACTTAAAAAACATGAGAAATGCGGTAGTGGTGTAGTGGTAGAGCACTCGCTTCATGAACAAGTGGTTCCGAGTTCGATCCCCACCACGTCCCTGGTAGTACCGCGCTCAACTCGTTTCTCCGCGCGGCGGCCTTGCTCGTCAAGGTTCGTGTTTCGGAGTTATAGAGTTGAGAGAGGGTTATTACCACAAATAAGTAGCCTCCTCGTCTGTAGTGGCTTTCTCGGCCTTGAGGAGGTGAATTAAAATTAAAAAAAAAAAAAAAAAATCTCATTAGTTTTGCTTTAAAATAATGTATGAAAAAATAAAGTATATGATCTTTAAACCATGAAAAGGTGTCCAAAATATAAAAATGGTATTCGAAAACATGTTGAAAAGTTTGTTGAACTAAAAGGCCATTGCTTACACATGACAGTAGGCCAAACAGTGGACATTGCTCAAAAATCGATATTAGTTTTCAATAGTTTTTATTGAAAACCAAATAAATTTTCGATTCATTAAAAAAAAATTAATTTAAAAGCATTGTTGTTCATGAAATATACTAGTTTAAATAGCGTAAATTCATTGCAAAAGATATGTAAAGATATGTAATATCTTTTATGTATTTATATGTAATTTAAATGATACATAAAAGTCATTTTTGGCATTATATAAGAAAAAATGTCAATATATAAGGAATGCTAATGTGATAGTTGTATGTAGAAACAGTCTTAGACTGCAATTTATTGAAATGTGAATGTTAACTTTATAGATTATTGCACAAAATTATTTTTACATGTTATACCTAATAAAACAACTAAAATTTAGCAAAATTTTAGTGTTTTTTTTTACTAATTTTTTATCAGAAAAATGAATTTATCTCAAAAAGTGCTAAGTTGACCCTAGTTTACATATATATTTTTATACTCCTATAACAAAGAGGAATAAGATGCTTTTTAACTAAATTGTGCTAACTTAGCACTTTTAAACAAAAAAAGTAAAATGACCCTACCCCTTTAGTTTAAATTTTTGAAAAATATTTAAAAAAATTTTAATTTAAATATTTTCACATTATTTTGTTCATATTTTTATGAGGGGAAGATGTGTTCAGAAAAAATGTATATCTAAAAATTAAAAAAAAGAATTAAGACCAGTTTTTGACCAACACCTCCACACACACCCCCTAGCCCACTTTTCTATTGAACTATTTTTTGACTAAATTTAATCTAGTTAGTACAACCATTAATAAAAAAAATATTGCAACATATAAGTCTGTTTTAAAATAAACGGATTACAAGAGTTAAAATTAAAACTGAGAGCTTTGGTGTGTATATAGTAATAATATAATATTTTTTACTTATCACGTTTATATTTTGATGTATATTATTTTAATTTTAAATCATTTTGTTTAAAAAGTTATTTGAAAAAATCGACAAAAATATTTATATCTTTAGTTTAATAACAATGAAGCTCACTGAATTTGACTTTTTTGAAATTTTTATTGCTGAGGAAAATGAACAACCAAAAACTTTTCTGCAAATATAACAGGTTGTATACTAATAATTTGCTAAGGCACTTGGCTTATTTTTAGTGTTTCAAAATTTACACATAAAAACTTTTCCAAAAAATCTTTAATCGTTGCACCTTCCGTTCAAAAGTTTTATACCAATGTCTGTGAAAACAGCTGTTTGGCCCGCTGTGCACATATAATAAAATTTAAAAAAATGTGTTTCAAACTAAATATAACTATTTTTGATAATTTTTTTTTTATATTTTAATTTTTTAATATATTATAAATACTTTTTAGTTGATTATAAAAATAAATAGCTAAAATTTAAGATTTTTGTAATGAAAATGTTTAATCTATATATTGATTTTAGATTTAATCTATATATTGATTTTACATAAATATAAGATTATATATATATATATATATATATATATATATATATATATATATATATATATATATATATATATATATTATATATATATATATATATATATATATATATATATATATATATATTATACTTGTTAGCCCAGATGCTCAATATGCTTTATGTGGGTCACATGACAACAATATTTATGTATGGAATACACGCACAAACCAACTCGATAAAGTTCTTAAGGAACATAAGTATGGATATTTTGTTTTTTCATGGTGTCACCAAGGCTTTTTTATTTAAATCAATTAAATTTAGAAAATAATGTTTGTTTTTTCCCTTTCTTTCACAATTTCTTACTTTTTTGTTTTTTATTAAGGAGCGCTGTTATTGCAACAGCATGGCATCCGCATGGATCTAGTATTTTATCAAGCGACAAAAATAAGCACGTTATTTTGTGGAATGACTTTTGAAAATGATTTTCAAATACGGTTTGAAGTGCTTTGAGAATCCAAAAGCAACGTTGTCAGTTAAACAGTTCCCGCTTTAGATCTAATATGGCGCACTTTGGTTTAATATCAATGTAGATTCTTATTGTTTTTGTGGTGTGCATCTGATGGTGTTAATCGTTTTTGTTAAAACAGTTTTATATTTTAAATACTATTCCTGTTGGCTATATACCCTCAAGTTGTTGCTATTGACATCAATGTGTATTGTTTGAATGGATATTTAGTAAATAAGTAGAGAATAAATGGTATTAAAAGTAACCGAGTTTAGCAAAAAAACTACAAATTGAATTACGATCAGAAATCGTAATTAAACTCTTTGTGTATGATCAACATGATAAAAAAAAACTTTAAAACTTTTGAAAAGGGCTAGATAATTTTTGCTATTAGTAAATGTTTTAACTTTTTATATTTAGCAAAAAAATTTTATATTATGTTCGCTTAGCTCATACATAAAATCAAATTAATTGGTTGTTGGAAACGTTTACGGTATGCCATCTTCATTATGTACGAGAGATTTCACGTAGCTGGCAGATTATAAGTACGAATCGGATTTCTGTATTTCTTGAACCCTCAAGAGAATTTTATTAAACTTATTTTTAATCTTTTTGACAAATTTTATGAATAATTACTGTTTAATATTTTGTATATTAGTATACAGAACTTTTCGTTTTGATATTTATATAGAGTATAATTGTATGATATGAAATCTCTAAGAATTATATCCAATTTTGTATTGAAATATGCATATATATATATATATATATATATATATATATATATATATATATATATATATATATTTACTTACCTGAACCCTATTGTGTGTAGGACACCAGGCAACAGATTTATATTTTGCTATATCATACGATAGGTAAATTTTTTTTTCTAATGTTAAATCACTTGTAGTGATTTATTTAGATTACTGCATAGTTATAATTTTCTAATGTAATATGTGTTCATAGCAATTCGTGTTTATAGTTAGACAGTTTTAAACTCGTCGATCGTGATATTTTTACAGATGTATTTTTACAACAATATAAATTTTTATTAAATATGTTTGATTGAAAAAGAAAAATCGAATTTATAGTAAATTTACCCTAAAACGAATAAATATTGTATTAAACTTTTTTTTTTACCACCATTTTTGAATATCTTATTTGAAATACAACTTAAAATGATTCATCATTTTAAAAGAACTTACCTGAAAAAATTTTTTTGGACTACTTGAAATTATTTTTATTATTTTTTATTCTAATAATATATTGTTTTTAATGTTATTGTTTCTGAGTTTAAATTTTTATTATAAAATAAAGCGCGCAATAATTTAATTTAAGTTTCTTATGTGCAATAAAGTGCCATTCTTAAACATGTAAATGTTTGGATATCAAACATCAAAAATCACTTCATCCGCCCCTGACTGTTTAAAACAAAAAATAAAGCATTATAATTCGAAGCATTATTATCTTATCGATAATCATTATTATCTTATATTATCGAAGCATTATAATAGTTATCGAAGCGAACAAACGTGTTTTTTGTACAGCGTGTTTTAATTGTTATATAATAATGAAAATTTCGATTAAAAACATAGAAAAAATAATTATCAACAAATTAGAAGAACAGAAAAATTCTCAAAGAAAAAGAAAAGATTTCCATGATTGGTTTCCATGGTTATTATACCATTATTATTGGGGACCTAAATATTTTCTATACAGTGAAGGTAATAAAATTAAAAACTTTTACGAGTCTTTTTTCGAAACTGGAGCGATCCCTTTGATTAATCGTCCAACGAGAGTAACAAAAAACTCAGCGTCTTTGATTGATAATATCATTACAACATATATATCCGACAATGATATCCAAACAGGTATACTAAAGTCGGATATATCTGATCATTTTCCTACACTTTTGTTGCTTAAAACAAACTCCGAAAATATAACCAAATTAAATCAAATTAAATTACACACTTTTGACGAAACCAATATAAAACAATTTAAAAACCAACTATCACTCCTACACTGGAAACACATTAACTTAAATAATAATGCTGACAAATTTAACGATAACTTTTTTGAAAAATCTTATTATGTGTATGACGTTAATTTTCCTATCATTGTAAAAACAATAAATCCAAAAAGTATAACCAACCCATGGGTGACCAGGTTATTTAAAAAATCATCAAAAATAAAACAGAAACTTGATATAAAATATCGTAAAACAAAATCATCTTCAAATGAAAAAATATAAAAAGAATACAAATACCTCTTTGAAAAAGTTAATAAAAACTTGAAAAAAAGTTACTACTCAAGACTCATAGATAAATTTAAAAATAACTTTAAACGCACTTGCAAACAATGAATGAAATTAGTGGCAGACAAAAATGATGCTCAAGTTCTCTCCCCCAACAATTATAGTTGATAACAAACATATATGCGAATCAAGAGCTATAGCTCATGAATTTACTAAATTCTTTGAAGATATAGGTCACAAATTAGCAAACAAAATTCTTTATACAAATGCTACATTTAGTGATTTTTTAGTACAAGTGCACAATTGCACTGGTTCCAACAAAGTATCTTCTAAACTATCTTTAAAACTCTTTAAAAATCAACCGGAGTAGATGACATAAACGTTAATATAGTCATAGAATATTTTAAATACTTAAAAATTATCCAATATAAAGTCTATACGCCAAGGAGTTTTTCCTGAAGAACTAAAAATTGCTAGTTGCTCCAATTTTAAAAGAATGTGATCAAACAAATATCATTTATTATTGTCCTATCTCCGTCCTCTCCACATTTTCAAAAACACTAGAACGTATTATGTACAGTAGATTATACAATTATCTACATTCTAATAATTTTTATACAACTATCAATTCGGCTTTAAAAGAAATAATTCCGCAGAACACGCAGTTATCCAATTTGTACGTGAAACCTCTTTTGAAAAGTCTAAATATACATTAGGTGTTTTCAACGACCTTTTGAAAGCATTTGATACTGTCGATCATAAAATTTTACTACAGAAGCTAAAATATAATTTTTTTTTTTTTTTTTTTTTTATGCTGATTTTAGGTGCCCCAAGAAGTCCTTACGGTCTTATCTCAGAGCACCGCGGAAGAGCATTTATCAGGAAGTTCACGCCTCTTTCCTAACCGATGTCGCAAAGCTTGCCCAGAGGTGGGGTTTGAACCACAGATCTTACGTTTCTGAGGCAAGTGTGCTACCACTGCGCCACGGCTGCTTTTATAATATAAAATAAATTGTAAAGTTATAAAATGGTTCAAAAGTTGACTTCGGCAATAATGATCATCCAAATAAGTTTCTAAATATTTTATGTGGCTTTCGACAAAGTTCTATTTTGGTACCACTATTGTTCTTGATTTATATAAACGACCTAAACAAAGCCTCAAATTTAATGAGTATCATGTTTGCTGATGATACTAACTTATTCTTTTCCAATAATGACATTTATAAACTCTTCTATACCATGAATGATGAACTTGAAGATATATCCAAATGGTTTAAATGCAACAAACTAACTCTTAATATTAAAAAACAAATTGGGTTCTTTTCCACCCAGTCTTAAAAAAAGCTTATTTACCCCGAAGTTTGCTTAAAGTTTTTAATGATAATATTGAAATTAAAAGACATAATGTAACAAAGTTCTTAGGTGCTTTTCTTGATGAAAACTTTACATGGAAAACGCATATCAACTATATTAGGAGAAAAATTTCTAAAAATATTGGAATTTTATATAAAACCATAACATATTTATATAAAAAAAGTCTAACTCAACTTTATTATACTGGAGATTTACTTGTAAATGATCCAGAAACAATTTCGGCGTGGTGCAGTAGTTAGAGCACTTGTTTTATAAGCAGGAGATCCTGGTTCGAAACGAGCCTTGGATATATTTTCGCGTTAAGGTAAGAAAGGAGGCGTGAACTTCCTGGTTAAAGCACTTCCACGGTGCTCTGTGACAAGACCGTTAGGTCTTCCTTGGGCACCTAAATAACAATAAAAAAAAATTACTTATTAATTCATGATTATTTAAATTATGCTAATGGTGCATGGGGATGCACTGAAAAAAGCAAGTTGAATTGGCTTTATCGCTGTCAGTAACATGCGATCCGTTTAATTAGTTTTGCGGATCGATAACCTCATTCTGAACTATTTTCTATTTAAATGAAAGTTCTCAATATTTATGAGGTTAATGTTTTTAATGTTTTGTGCTTGATGTATATGTGGAAAAATGACATATCTTCACCCGTTTTCAAAGATCTCTTTTGTTTGAAACCAATAAATTAATATACACTTAGAAACAACAACTTTATGTAAGAGCCCATTTGTCGATTGAAGTTCAATCAGTTTTGTGTTGCACATCGTAAATCTTATCTTCAGAATAAAATTGTTTCGTCTATTTTCGACATGCTTTTAATTATTGGCATATTATATCAACAAATATAAACAACTAAAATTAATTATGTTGAAATAATGCAAGAGACTTTTTGCTAGATAACATTGCCATTACTACGTAATGCAGAGTACTACTACACAAACAGTAATGCAGATACTACGCATACTACATACATACAGTAATGCAGATATTGCAATACTACGTAATGCAGAGTACTACTACACAAATGCAGAGTACTACTACACAAATAGCAAATGCAGAGTACTACTACACAAACGATTCAACACATCATAGATCCAACACACCTAAATAGCACCATCACTGCCTTATTGCAGATATTCATCAACAATCTTAAAGTCAGTTGTAGAACTACCTTTTACCATTTGCATATTACTTTTGGTCAATCAGACTTTTTGAACTTAGATTTTTAACACATTTAACTCATTTTTAATCTGTGCTTCTTAAGATAAAACTCATTTTTAATCTGTGCTTCTTAATATATGTCGGTATCAATGCTTAGATGAATAGTTTTTTTCACTTCTTTAAGGTTCACAATATCATCGCTAAATTAAACTGTTTGTGATACTAAAAAAAAGAAATTATTTGTAACTAATTCCAAAATACAAAAAAATAAAACAACAACAGTAAAATAAGATTAGATTTAAACTACCTTTTTTTTTTTTTTTTTTTTTTTTGCCGTTTCATATATTTACAATATAGACATATTACATTTATAAAAATTGGCCGGAGCAAGAAGAAGACAATGACTGTCTTTTCGCCGAGCCCCGTTTACAAATTGCCCGTGTTTATAAACAAATATAAATAAAATATACAAAAAAACGTTAAAGAGTACGTAACTTTTGTCAAATAATAAAATGACATTTATATTAAAATTTAAAAGTAAAGAAAGTTTTGTATACTAATACAAATATATTTGATACATATAACAAAATATATTTAATGATAATGGGAGCGTTTGTTTCAATTTTAAAATTTCCTTTTAAAAAAAATACTTAAAGTCTATTGAATTAAAATCTAATTGAAGTAAGATTCTTTTAGAAACTGCTTTAAATTTTTCTAAAGAGTAGTGTTCTTTATTAAAGTTTTTAATAAAATTTTTCCATAAAAAAGGTCCTCGATATTTAATTTGATAAGAACTTATTTTTAAATTTATTCTCGGAACAATAATTATAGTTTGCCAAGTTGGAGTAGGTTTTTCTTTTGCTACATCTTTAAAAAAAGACAAGCTAAGTAAATAAAACTATAAGTGTACTGTGTAATCAAGTTATTGTAAACGTAAATTATTTGGATTGGCTGATT